TGACCCGTAAAATATGACCTAAACCAATCTAGTGCAGTTCCAGATACACCAAAGACAGTTTCCAGTCGATTAAGTAAAAGCATGTGGTCAACAGTGTCGAAGGCTGAACTAAGATCGAGTAAGATGAGAATCGAGAGAGCGCCAGAATCAAAAGCTAACAGTAAGTCATTAACAACTTTAACCAAGGCTGTTTCAGTGCTGTGCAGTTTCCTAAACCCAGATTGAAGGGGCTCAAACAGATTATTGACTGTTAAATGGTTGTGTAATTCAGATGAAACAACACTCTCTAAAATTTTAGTAATAAATGGAAGATGAGAAATTGGACGAAAGTTACTGAGATTGTTCGAATCACTGTTTTGCTTTTTTAATATGGGAGTGACAGCAGCAGTTTTAAGTGCTGTTGGCACAACACCAGTGGCCAAGGAGTCATTTATTATTGTAAGAACAACAGGGCACAAATAACCAAAACAGGATTTAAATAAACTAGAGGGCAGGGGATCAAGTATGCAAATGGCAGCTTTCATACGAGCTACCTGTACACAAAGAGACTCAGAGGTGACTAAGGAAAAATTAGAGAAGGGTGTACCGGAAAAACTTGGTAGATTAACTGTAGAAACATGAGAAGAACTAAGAGAACTAAGAATATCTTTGCGAATGTTATCAATTTTTAAACTGAAGAATTTAAGAAAATCATTGCAGGTCTGAACTGACGCAGTTAGAGTATTCGCACCATCTACTTTCAATAGACTGTTAATAATGTGAAAAAGCTGCCTAGGGTTATTATGATTATTGTCAATAATCTGAGAAAAATATGAAGACCTTGCAGTGTCAATTTCTGCTTTATATTGGCCCAAACAAGTTTTCCAAGCTTGATGAAAAACTGACAAGCCAGAACCACGCCATTTACGCTCCAGTTTGCGACATTCCACCTTCTTTGAATGCAAATTGTCATTATACCAGGGAGCTGTATGTACGAAAGAGGCATTGCGTGTTTTAATTGGTGCAAACATGTCCAAATTGGCAGCAACAGCATTATTAAGTAAAATAATTTTATGCTCAGAAGGGACAGAAGAAAAATCATCCAGGCATGCATTGATCGAATTAGCAAAAGCCACAGGGTCAATTGATTGCCATTTACGGAAAGAGACAGTACGTGCAACAGGCCTTAAAGAATATGGTACCTCCAAATTAAAAAGGGTGGCTGAATGATCCGAGAGACCAACATTTACAGTAGACAGATTTGACACCAAAGCATCATTTGCCATGACTAAATCAAGTGTATGACCTTTACAATGTTTAGGAACATTCACAAATTGTGTAAAGTTAAAACAGTCCAACAGAGATAAAAATTCCTTGGCCAGAGCACATGAGGTCAGCGTAGCACATGAGGTCAGCGTTGCGCATGCGCTGCTCAGAAGTGACGAACGCGGAAGCGCAGCGGAGAGATCAAAACAAAACAATGGTGCTTTGCGCATGCGCCGCTCAGAAGTGACACATGCGGAAGCGCAGGGGAGAGATCAAAACAAAACAACGGTCACTTATTAAATTAAATAAAATTTATGCATTTAGCAGATGCTTTTATCCAAAGCAACTTACAGTGCATTCAGGCTGTACATTTTTTTACCAGTATTTATTAGAAGTACAAAACGAGGATTTGTAAAGAAGAATGTCAGAGGATTTCGAGACTTTTTTTATATATATATAGATGGGCGCTTTTTATTTCACTTCTTTTGGACTGATGCATGCAACACCCGCTGAGTGCCATGAAACAGCTTGAAAGATCAAAGACAATTTTTAATATAACTCCAACTGGATTCGTCTGAAAGAAGAAAGTCATATACACCTAGGATGACTTGAGGGTGAGTAATTTATGGGCTAATTTTCATTTTTGGGTGAACTAACCCTTTAAGGCTAGTTATTGTAATGTTAGTTAACTAACATTAACTAACAAGAAGCAATACATCTGTTACTTTATTAATCTTTGTCAGGGTTATTATTTTAACATATATATATATATATATATATATAGAACGATAAAATATTTATTAAAGAATTAAATTAAAAATAATTAAAAATGACAATGTATTACTTAAAATAAACTTTAACTTAAAATAAAATATAAAAAAGCTTAAACTTAAATTTCTCATTTTTGTTTAGTTTAAGTACTAAAATGGCTAAGGTAAAACTAAAAGTTATATCTCATATCTCTTGTCTCTTGTTCAGGGAGACAGCGGTGGTCCTCTGGTGTGCCGGACTGAAGCGGGTGACTGGCGGTTGGCCGGTGTGGTGAGTTGGGGTGAAGGATGTGGACGAGTCAATAAACCTGGCGTTTACAGCAGAATCACTCCGCTGCTGCGCTGGATTCATCAGTACATCAGTGTAAATACACATCACGTCTCAGAGAGTGTTACGGGTTCAGATTAAACTCTGTAAACAACATCCACCGGCTGATTACCACCGTCATCTGTCAAAACAAGCTAAAATAATATTTACAGGGCTGTCAAAATGGTTGAAAAACTAAATTTGAATTTTGTACTTAAATATAATCAATATTCGAATTATATTCGAATTTAATAGGCATAATTTCAGTTAAGGGGGAAAAAAAGCTTTTGGCTTCTCTCCTGAGGCCACAAGAGGGCGCATCGAGCAAAATATTACTAATGCACATTTCTTCAAAGCAATAAAATAACACGACTATCTTTGAAAAAAGTGCATAATGTTTAAATTAATGTTTATAAACCATTTATAATTAATTAAGTTGCTTAAACAATTAAAACCGATCACAAAGAGTACTTTTTCATTTAAAAACATGAGGTGCAGTGGGATGGGGAAAACTGCCATAAAAGTCTTGAGACATGTTTTTTAAAAGTTGAACTTGCATTAATTTTACATGGCTTTCTAAACACGCGGCTCTCTTGTGCTTTTTATTTTAAATTCGACGAATATTCGGAATTCGAATAGTTCCTTTAGTTCACTGCATTCGTTAACATAAACTAATAATGAAAATACTTTTATTAATCTTAATGTTCATTTCAACATTTACTAATACATATTAAAAATTCATTTTTTAAAAGTTAATACTTTTTAATGGACATGAGGTAACGTAAACTAACAATAAGTAGTTGTATTTTTATTATTTAATATTAAACAAAGATTAATAAATACTAACAAATTTATTGCTTATTGTTAGTCAATGCATAACTAATGAGACCTAATTCTAAAGCCTTACCTGTACATATTATTTATTAACATGAAACTAAAGTCCATCACTGACTGACCTTGACTGTGTAAAATAAACCAATAAACCAACTAAACTCCTGATACGACTAGTGAAAGTATAATCAAATTGGCTGCAAGTTATTTCAACTTTTAATAAATTATAATAATTATATATTATTATAAATTAGTGCTGTCAAACGATTACTTATAATAAAGTCAATTATAATAAACTGACTTATAAATCGTAACTTTAAAAAGTTGAAATTGGAAAATGTAATGAGTTAAAGTAATGGAAAAATAAATCTTGACTTATTCATCATATCATTTTTACAGTGCGCGATAACTTTAATTAAATATGTGCAAAACTCTTTATTCAGACTTCAATCTGAGCCCAGAACATTCCTTGCGTTATGTCAGCATGCATTTATAATAAGTCCAAAATCCATTAACATTTCTTTAATTGATTTCAGGATGAAGACGAAGAGTCCTTCTCGACGGTCACCACACAGAGCAATCCCTTTTGAAAACATTAATTATTATTACACAGATTGTACAAGGCTTTAATCTTATAACTGATAACTGAAAGCTTTGTGAGAGTGCATATCATGTGCAATAAAAGATGATTAGATGCAGAGCGGCTGGTTTGATCTGACTGTGACTGGAGTCACGTACGCTCAGAGAAGGGTGTGTCCTGATGAATGGAATGTGGTTTATTCAGCTGATTCACTCTGACTGTCTCTGATCATCATCATCATCATCATCATCATGATGCTTGAATCTGAATCTGATCATGCATCTGGAAACTTCACTGATCTGGGACCTGAAGTGGCCAACATCTCATCCAATACATAACATGGAGAAGACGGCTCATGAATATTAATGAGCATGTGCTGTTGTTGCTATGTAACCGGCTGGGAGTGTCGTGTTGTGTCTGTAGTTGACCCTCAGAGACTCGTTGATATTTCTGAGCTTGCGTGACTGATTGTGGATTGTTGTTGAACATCAACATCTTTATAAAGCTGCAGGTTTAGAGGCCTTTACCAGCATCTTCACGGGTGAGTTCATCTCTCTCGAGCCATCAGGGTCAGTATCCGTCTCTGATTTACTGAATGCTCATGAATGGAAGCCCAATCTTAATGCAACTTTTTGTCTCACAATTTGGACTTTTTTTCCTCAGAATTCCGAGATAACTCAAAATTCTGACTTTCTTTCTCACAATTCAGGGTTTATATCTCGGAGTTCTGACTTGTATCTCGTAATTCTGATTTATCTCACAGTTTTGATTTATATCTCACAATTCTGCGTTATATCGCAATTCTGATTTATATCTCGTAATTCTGCATTATATCGCAATTCTGATTTATATTTCATAATCTGATTTATATTTCATAATTCTGCATTATATCGCAATTCTGATTTATATCTCATAATTCTGCATTATATCGCAATTCTGATTTATATCTCGCAATTCTGCATTATATCGCAATTCTGATTTATATCTCGCAATTCTGCATTATATCGCAATTCTGATTTATATCTCGTAATTCTGCATTATATCGCAATTCTGATTTATATCTCGTAATTCTGCATTATATCGCAATTCTGATTTATATCGCAAATTCGCAATTCTGAATTTATATCTCAAAATTTTGAATTCATACCTGGCGATTCTGATTTTATTTCGCAATTCTGATTTATATCCAAATTCTGATTTATATCTCGTAATTCTGAATTTATATCTCACAATTCTGCATTATATCGCAATTCTGATTTATATCTCACAATTCTTAATTTATATCTCACAATTCTGAGTTTATTTCGCAATTCTGATTTATATCACAATTCAGAGTTTATATCTCACAATTCTAATTTATGCTTTGCAATTCAGAATTTGTATCTTGCAATTCTGATTTATCTCACAATTCTGATTTATATATTGCAGTTCTGATTTACGTCTCGTAATTCTGAATTTATATTTCACAATTTTGCGTTTATATCGCAATTCTGATTTATATCTTCCAAACATTTAATTCCAAACACAATACTAGCCTTTCAAAGTTATCCAGGTCAAAAACGTATATAGTTTTTGTCAGTGTTTAAAACATCCAGTTATGCAGAATATAAGTTGGTAAATATTTAATTGATGAGTTGTCAATACAATATATAGCGTATGATTTTACCACAAAATTCAGCATATTGACATTACATGATATACATAACTGCAAATCTGTGTTTCGCTGCCTGGAGTCCATTTGTTTCTGTGAATTGCATTCTCTCTTATAGCTTTCCGCAGTCTGTAAAAATATTCCTCAGATTTCTCAGTCCAGTGTTTCCCATACACTGATTTATTTCAAAACTGCCCCGATTTCTAGGGCAGAGAAAAACCCAAATTGGTCGACCTCTATTGCTGACACTTAAATTACTTGTTTTGCCACTTTTGCACTTGCTATTAATGTATTTTGAATGCAAAAGGCACTTTTGATATATATATATTTTTTAAATAGTGTTGATTTGTTATGCATGTTTATTAAAAACAATTGTTCCGGACCTTTGACACTGATGAAAATTCAGATTTGGACCTTTGAATGTAGATTTTGAGAAGCTCTGCCCTGCTCTTTGGTGGCACTGCAATCAGTGTTGTTGCTTAATTGAGCAACTTTTCAGACTACCCTAGCAACGTTTTCTTCCAAAAGCACCTAGCAACAAATTTGACCAATTTTTAAAATTTATCTGGCAACTTTTAGCAACTTTTGAGAAGTGACTCAGACAATAAAAAGGCACACATTTTCCATCCGAATTACACAAAAAGAGGAAACCAAAGATGCCTCGCAGTACACACATCACGTGAACTGAGGTAGCTGCTATTTGCAATTGTTAAATTTTATAATAATTGAATAATTGTTCATTTATGATACACTTTGTTAGTAGCTTGCGATTGTTGAATATTTTCCTGCACATAATTAATTGTAACCCTGTGACCCGAAAACACAATGCGTTATTACTTAGATATAATTATATATTAATTATAAATATATTTATTAATGCAAGTAAAAAAACCAATACGGATTTATTTTTTTCATATTAACAGTAGATTGTGCTCTATGTTTACAGACTTTTCTTAGAGTGTAGCATGCTAACTACTAATACACTGCTTAAAGCATACTTGTTGAGAATGTGTAGTATTACTAGTTTACTAGCTATTTAAAAAAAAACTAAATTGTAATCATTCAAAATTGTGTAAGTGTTCAATAATTCAATCAATGTATTTAAAAATACAGTTATTCATATTTGAATATTATGCATATTATTTTACAAACAAATCTAAATTAAGATATATAAAATATTTTTTTTGCTGAGATTTGATGACATCACAAATGCTTTTAGCAACAGATCGACCTTCCTTTTGCAACATAAAATTCCCATTAAGCTGTCTAACTTTCATAGACAAGCTCTGTTATCTTGGTTGTTGGTGTACAAACATAATTTCTCTCCCCACAGGTGTTTGATTTGGAACAATAAAGATATTAAATATAAGAATAAGACACTTTTTTTAGATTATTGGTTGAGAAATAATATTTTATTAGTGACACAGTTGTTTCGTCCTGGTGGTCTCTTACTCTCATATGGAGAATTTTTAAATAAATTTAAACTTCCAATTTCTGCAAAGGATTATGCAGTGGTCTTTGATGCTATACCTTCTGGTCTTCTTCAGTTGCTGCTGATGCTTTTGATTCGAATATAACTAATGACTTAAATTTAAAGTTAGATGGTATAAGTGTTCTTGATAAAAAATGCAATAATAATTTTCTTAAACAGATTTGTCGGCCTTTTAGGATACCCCCAGCTAAAAGTTTTTGGAATTCCCGCTTCCAGGACATTAACTGGGAGGAGGCTTTTATGATCTCCAGGAGATACTGTGTCATCAATAAGATTCGCGAGGTTTCATTTAAAATTATTCATTGTATTTATCCAGTAAATGAGGTTATTAAAAGATTTAAGAAGGATATTGATTTGAAATGTGTGTTTTGTCATTTGAATGATGAAAGTATATGCCATCTTTTTTTTTAATTGTATTTGTACTAAATTATTCTGGTGTGATTTTAAGATCTTCTTTGAAGAGATTTCGGGAATTGACATTACTTTAGAAGATAAGAATGTTTTATTTTATTATGATAAGCCTTTAGAGAAGAAATTATATTTTGTTC